TATGTATATATATTTTATATATATATATGTATATATATGTATATATATATATATATATATATATGTATTAATGTATGTGTGATATATATATGTATATATATATATATGTATATATATATGTATTAATGTATGTGTGATATATATATGTATATATATATGTATATATATATGTATTAATGTATGTATGATATATATATGTATATATAATATATGTATATATATATATGTATTATATATATGTATATATATATATATATGTATGAATGTATGTATGATATATATATGCATATATGTATATATATATATTATGTATATATTATATATATAATGTATATATATATGTATATTTATTATATATATATATATTTATATATATATATGTATATATATATGTATATATATTATATATATTATATATATATATTTATATATATGTATATATATATATATATATATATATATATATATATATATATATATATATATATATATATATGTATGATATATATATGTATATGTATATTTTTATGAAATCGTATATGTAGAGTTTATTTAAGATATTTTTTTGCTTAAAGAATGTATTAGGAAATTATAAAACCTTTTTGCTCTATTGTTTATGAAGAAGGAATTTAATGAAAAAACTCATGAAGTTAAGAGTATTAACAATTAAAGGAGGAGCGGTTAAAAAATGTATGTCTATGATTTGTCTGATTTTTAGTCCTATAACGAGAGTAGAGTAGGCAATTGCTTGAATAGTCTCTTTCAGACCGAATTTATCATTTATCAGCAACATTTTTTTCTATTTATGAGAAAAAGGAGGTAGAACCACATCTCTATGATTACCTGAGAGAGAGGAGGGTTAGCAAATGATATGGGAAGATGATGGGTGTGGAATCTTGTCTGACGGTACCATATTTGTCTATAATTGACTTCTTATGAAAAAATTGTAGTAAAACAGCCTACCAGTCAAATGCCCAATCAAGATCATAGAGAAAATTACTAATAAAAAGTATGGCAACCCAGGAGTGTGTTGAATAGGGGTTAGGTTTGATAAAAAGGAGACAAAACCCATTCACTCACTATGGTAGCTGGAGTTGAGAAATACCAATTGGATTTGTTTGAATGAAGTTGTTGAGAATATTGAATAATTATGAATTTATGTTAAATAAAAAGGTTTTTATGATATGATTTACATTTGAATTTTTCCAGGTTGTACAATGGCTACTATGTCAAGGTGTTTCATTAAATCAACGTGACTGGGAAAATGGATATACCCCATTGCATCGTGCCTTGTTTTATGGGTATCTTCATGTTGCTTGTGCTTTGTTAAAGGTAGAGTTTAGTTATTTTATTTTGTGTATATTAGTTAATGTTTTCAGTCGAGTATATTTTATACTGAAAGGCATTGAATTAGTCATTTATAATTACATTACTGACAAGTTGTACCAATAAAACAAATTTGAAGTTCCTGTATGATGGCACATTCCAGGCTGGTGCAAACTTTAATGTCCAGGACCACGACTCCCTGACCCCACTTGATCATGTCAATTTTGACCGTCCTCCATATGTCACCTTTTCACACTCCCTACCCACACAAATTTATGTTTGGGGTAGCAACACAAACTATAATTTAGGACAAGTAAGTTCAAGCTAGTTTATAATTTGTTTGTTTGTGATCATTTGTATATATTTAATTTGCTTAATGTTGAATATGAAATATAGTAACACTAGTGGAAGCAAAGTTTTGTGAAGGAGTCTTATCAGCTTAATTGATAATATCCATTTGAATAGGTTAAATTTATATTAAAAAATTATAAAAATATTTTCCCTAACTGAACAGACCAGACAAAATGCAAAAGGAATTCCTGAATGCTTAGACATCCTGCAGCGTGAGGGCCAGTCTGTGATAGATGTGGCAATGAATAAATTCCACACACTATTTTTGACAAAAAGTGGTCATGTATATGCATGTGGCCATGGCCATGGTGGAAGGCTTGGATTATCTGTCCATACACCACTAATGAAGCCTTACATGATCAAATCCTTTGCAACCACGACAATCAAAATGGTGTCCGTGGGAGTGGATCACTCCCTCTTCTTAACAGAGTCTGGACAGGTAGGTAGCAAATAAGTGATCTCTTGCATGCATGCATGTGAGAGAGAGAGAGAGAGAGAGAGAGAGAGAGAGAGAGAGAGAGAGAGAGAGAGAAGAGAGAGAGAGAGAGAGAGAGGAGAGAGAGAGAGAGAGAGTGAGGAGAGAGAGAGGAGTTAGGAGAGAGAGGAGTGAGGAGTGAGGGGGAGAGAGAGGGATAGAGGGGGTTAGTATCTCGTTGTCAGGCCACGGGTGTTCTTGGGGATGGCCAGGGTCGCGTAGTTCTGACCTCAAAGGGTAGTGAGTGTGAAGTGAATGAGGGAGGTCAGTAAGTAAGTAAAGTTAAAAGAAAAGACCCGTTGCCGGGGGGAAGGAAGGAGGGAGAGGGGAAGGATAAGGAGCGGATAGAAAGGATGATTTAGTAAGAGAGAAAGAGCCGGGGCTTAACCCAGCGTGCGGGGTAATAGATGGGGGATAGATAACTGGAGTCGGAAAAGGCGGGAAAAGGCTGGCAAGGGGAGGCCCCGTGCTATCTGTGCTTGCCGCAGCCATGGCATGTTTCTCCTGTTTGGCGTGGAGCTGGCGGACCAGCTCCATGCCAGCAAGGGTGGCCATGCCCAGGCTGCGGGTTGCGCTTGGGTAATGGGGGAGCAGGGGTGGAGAAAGTCAGCCTACCAGGCGCCATCTGCGGCTCCACTGTGCACGGACTTGTCGCCCATGGCAACAGTGGTGCCCTCGGCCAAGCCTCGAGACTGCGAGGATGAAAGCGGATGCGACCGCAACAAGCCTTTCTCCCTCGCCTGCGTCAATCAGAGATTTCTCTCTGTCGGCGGCGGGACTTCCGGGGAGATGTGCTCGGGCGGTCACATCACGGATGGATTATCATCACTGGCCGTGGCACCTCCTCCCCGGCTCGTGCGTTGGCATTTCTTCCGACAAAGGAGCCGCGGTCATGGCATGGGTACGAGCGGCAGATGCCATGTGTCGGCAATCCGGAACCAGTGACATAATGTGGCGTGGGTGAGGTTGTGGTCACAAAGGGAAGCGAAGGATGGGGGTTAAAAACGGGTTTGGGCTCCCTGTCACCCACTTGGTGTGGTGGCATCGTCACCCACTTGGTGTGGTGGCATCGTCACCCACTTGGCGTGGTGGCAGCATCATCACCTTATCAGCGTGACACCAGGGTCATCAGCTCAACATTCCTGCTGAACAAAGTCACCTGACTTTGATCTCTTTCGAGATTATTTGACAACAAACTACACAGAGAGCTCCGCCAATTTATCGTGGTTCACCGCGACATTAGCCAGGCTTTCTCTGGTAGTGAATGCCTCCTTACCGCTCCCTTGGAGAGCGAGGTAACGAACCTGGGTTGGACCCCTCGGTCCTGGACATAGTTTGTGACTTCGCACCAAGGGCGACTTTTTTGTGCTTGACTCTCGCCCTCTCTTTTCCATTTCCTGGTGCAGCCTAGGCCTGCGGGAAACTCTGGTTTCCAACATTCGCCTGTGCTGCGGTGACGTGATCACATCTCCCATGTAGCAAGACTAAGGTGCAGAGCGTTAACCACACCAAAGCTCCAAGTTCAGCCCACCCAGGGGGATCTCCTGTCCTGTGGTGCTGAAGGGTCGAGTCATAGGCAACAGGGAATTCCAAGGCCCTTCATAAGACCTCAGCTCCAGTGAGTAGCAATAGGGATAGCTCCCCGAAATATTTATATGCATATATATATATAGGGGTCTCCTAGGCCTGCAAGGGAACACACATTAGACATCTGTCTGCAGTAAGTGCGGGGTGGTGTGTATGTAATTCCCTCAGCTTCTTTGAGGCCTAGGTGTAGGTTAATTTTCACTTCAACACCTTAATGGCAGACCAATTATGCCAAAGGTAAGGATAAAATCAGAAGGGGGTTTAACCCCCACCAGACGAACCAACCTGTTGAAGACCCTCTGCCAGCATGATATACGAATTGTAAAGCTCCTTGATGCCACTGACAGTTACATTGCCATTACTGAAACTGACGAATGCATTAATACCATCTTTGAAGAAGCCACCCAAAATGCCCTCTCCATCGAAGGTTTCACACCAATCCTGTCACCTGAAAAAAGGGCTAAATTAATTCTTGTCTTTAAAAGACTCGAGAGAGAGATTTTAGAGCAGCCAGAAGATGCCATCAAAAGAGCAGTTGAGGAAAGGGCACCCTTTGCAACAGTTGACAACATCTGCTAGACAAGGTCTAGCATCATCAAGGCTAGGTTTCGAACTATGGCAATGGCTTTATGATTAAAGAAAAAGGCCTATGTCTTTTTTGGTTGTCCATACCTCCACGAAACATTGAATTTAAAAGATTCACAAGTGTGCCTTAGTGCATGTCTTGCTAATCACATTAAGAGCAAGTGTCCAGACAAAGACATGAAAGTGTGCAGCGAGTGTGCCCAACCAGGTCACACCTTCAGGGAATGCCAAAATTAAGCAAACCCCAAATGCATCAATTGCAGTGAGGCGCACTGAGTGCTCCCAGGCAAATGCCAGTATAGGAAAGATGCAATCCTCAAAATTGAAAAGAAAAAGAAGGAAAAGGCCAACAATGAAACCAACCTCCCATACAGTATGGTCGCCAAAAAAGCAGCTGAAGCCAGTGTGAAGGATAACTCCACCCAGCAAGTCATTGCCCTTCCTAATGATACTTCATACAAGGTTCTTGTGATCCTTATTCATGCCCACCTGGTCAACCTAGGGCAACCAGGAACGTACACAGAAGAAGTCAAAAAGGGCCTAAGGGAGGCAAACTTCTCAGAAATTGACGTCCCAAATGATGTGGACTCTGGAGCCATCTTCAGAGTAACTCTTCCAAGCAACAATGCCACTATGAACCAAGACACTGGTACTATCCCTTAACCCACCAGGGCAATGCCAAGTGTTCCATCACATATACGCCAAAACTCTGTATCGACAAAGAGCACGAGTAGCGAATCCTCACATGTCCGAGCCCTAGACACTGCACTCTCACAAATGGACACTGAAACACTTATCGATACAGAATTGGAACTCACCACTCCAGGACCAAGTACTCCAGCACCAAAAGAACAAGCCAAGGGAGCAAAACCTAAAACAAAACTCTACTATGGTGGAATACCTACAGATCCAGCCGGAATGGGGCTACAGTTATTCTCACAAGACCCTTAAAAATATAAGAACTGCAACAAATTAACAATTGGCAAAGAGATAAAAGCTGGAAATATCAAATTCACATTCACCAACAAGAATTTCATACACTCAGAGAGCAAAATTAAACAGCTTTTAGAGGGTGGATCAATTGAAGTGACAGGGAGCATGATCCAGTATAGACATAGATCAAAGGAATAAGAAACAAATTTGTTGAGACCTCAGAATCAGCCAACAAGTCAACGAAATGAACGGACTAAGAATAATCCAGCATAATGTCTTACACTGGAGGAATAGAAGACTCGAGCTCTGCAACACATATGCTTCCTGCAACCCGGACATAATTCTAATCAACAGCCATGGACAAAAAGACAATGAAAGAATAAAGATCTTCCCCTATTATACTTACCAACAGAATAAAACGGGAAATGCATGACGGAGTAGCCCTTGCCATAAAAAGGCAACTTAAGCACCATATTATTGACAACCAAGAGTTCTTTGCGGTTGAAATTGAAACCACCAGAGGCCCCATAAACCTGGCAACGGCATACCTTCCTCCCAGAAGACCTTTTCTACCATATCCAGACATACTTAGACTCCTGAGAGAACAGAAACCAGTATATATCATGGGAGATCTCAATGCAAGACATGCAACACTTGGACGTGAAAACAATAACAATATCGGAAACAGTATTGCACAATTGATGTCACATCTTGGCCCTGATTTTCCCACTCTGATCAGAAATAACACAGCCACAAGCCCAGACATTGTCATGTCCAACAGATATGGATATCCTAACATCCATATTACCCCAAGAGACATAACAACAAGCGACCATCTCCCTATCATCATGGAGATCTCCACCGACCCACTTAGCATCCCCATCACACCTAGAGCTGATTACAAAAATGCCAACTGGGATCAATTCAAACAAATACTTGGTATTTGTTTGTATTAGCCATACACTGAACTTAGTGGAAAAAAGAATGGGGATATAGACCAAGAAACCGAAAGATGGCTCAAGGACATTATTGAGGCAAAACAGATCACCATATCACACAGACCCTTCAGAGTACTCCCTCACACCAAAAGTTCAACAGAACTACAGCACCTCCAAGTAATGTTTCAAAATGTAAGAAACTTGGCAACTCACAGAGGTTGGGATCAGGAACTGAGACGAAGATGTAATGAAATACGCATCCAGTTAACAGAGGCCTGCAGAGCCCTAAGCAACTCCCTATGGGCAGAGCTGACTCGAGACCTATCATCACAGGCAAGAGATCCCAAAGAATTCTGGAGGAAATTCAAAACAATGATGGGCAACACCACTTCACACAGTCCATATATATATGACAGTCAAGGAATCAAACAATACACAGACCAGGAAAAAGAAAAAATCCATAGAACTTACGGGGCAAAAGTCTTTCACATCTTGGAAGAAGAAAACCTTGATTTTGACAAAGAAACAGGAGATGGTGACACAAGAACTGGTTAACTATACTGCCTTAGACAACCAAAACCCAGTAATAGACTACAGATGCCTAGACGAAGAGGATCCGCTAATCTCACCAGTTACTACAGAAGAATTGGTAAAAGCATTAAAATCTATGAAAAACAAATCTCCAGGAATCAGCCAAATAAAAAAGGCAGAAATTGAAAACCTTCCTCACATTATGCTACAAAGATTTAAAACAATACTCATTTCTGCTTTAGGGAATGGATACTTCCCAAAGGAGTTCAAAACAGCCCTCATAACCCTAATTCCCATGCTGGAAAAAAAAAAAAAAAAAAAAAAAAAAAACAGACCAGAGAACTTCAGACCAATATCCCTACTTGAAATACCAGGAAAGATTTTTGAGGGCATTATCAACAACAGTTTGTGTCAGTATTTAGAACTTAATAACCTAAATCCAAGACAATTTGGCTTTAGGAACTTCAAAAGCACGGCATATGAAGAAATAGCTTTGGGTCTGGCCAACAACAAAATTTTAAGGGATGTAGCCAAGGCTTTTGACAGAGTGTGGCACCCAGGCATCAAATTTAGACTAAACAAGCAGGGGAGTGTACTCTCCCCAACACTGTACACCATATACACGACTCCTATCCTTCCACCGGAGAGGAACAGCAACTATGTGATGTATGCTGATGACATCACACAGATTATAACGCATCCATCTCCCCGGGCTAACTTCATTAACCTGGCAACAAAGAGAGCTATTAATAAAATCAACAAGTTTGAAGGAGAATGGAAGATCAAAACAAATATCAACAAATTCCTAGTGATTCCAGCAGCCAGAACAAAACCAGGCAATCTAAACCTCAATAACACCAACATAAACTATACAAAGGAAGGGAGACTCCTCGGTCTGAAAATCACAAACACTGGCACAGCAGGCCACGTAAAGGAAAGGAGAGCCATGGCAAGAAAAATGCTGACGAAATTGAAGAGATTCTCAGGATGCCCTGAAAGAGTAAATCTACATCTATACAAAGTACTAGTAAGGCCGATAATAGAATACCCACCAATCCCTCTACACACAATTTCCAGAACTTCATGGCATCAACTACAGGCCATACAAAACAAAGCAGTGCTATGGGCAAAAGGAGTGAGATGGCCACACCCTAGACCCTCCATTTGAGTGTTACACATGGAGTACAATCTCGAGCCCCTCAACACCTGAATACACAGGCTGGCAGACAACATCTGGAGCAAACTTGAATACCTAGGACACCAATTTCTAAAACATTGAAAATATAAACAATTCAACAGAAAGAGAGCACAACTGGTGGCCAAGGAGCCTGGCAAGAGTCAGAGGAACCCCCCCCCCCTCTTCCTATTTACTCTCGTACCAATAGATAAGGTGGCAAACAATCAGTGAATGGTTGAGTGATTGAATGATTGGAAGATAGAAAAAAAAATAGAAACTACTTCTAGGAACTCCCAATGGCAAGCTAACGCCTCAACCGCGTTACCCTGCACGGGGAAGCAGGAGTAGTCACTCAATCAGTCAGTCGGAGTCACGAGTTGGCATCATGGTTACAGGATGCAGCTTACAGCACCGTCGTGTTTCCGTCGTGACAAAACCAGGATTGACAAGCTCAATGAGATGGACTGATTTACAAACTCTCCACGGGACCAAGATCCTGCCAACGTGAGTATGTGAAGCACAACATTCACACAACACGTTCACAGAACTTGAGTAACGGGAGAGATGGAATCAATCTACGAAAAAATAAAATAAAAGAAGGTGGCTCTAACTCATGCATACCTCAGAGGGGTTCGAGGCTATGTGTGGGGAGAGACACCTCACATGCCAAAGGCACTGGCTCCTCATCCAACAATGGTACTGTTGAATGAGGAGAAAGAGCTTGGGCATGAAAAAAGGCTATGAAAGGCAAATAATGAGATTGCAAATGGGTGAATGAATGAACTGTAAATGTTTTTTTATACTTATCTTAGTAAATACAATCCACAGGGTAGATGAAGGATGCTCGTCAAAGCAAAGACAAGCAAAGGGTTACGCCCCCTATCTTATTCTTTACCTTGTTTCATTTTCGTTAGGAAGCTAACGCTTAGTTCTTCCTCTTCCTCTCCACATTCAAGAACTCCGGTTCTATTACTACTACTACTACTACTACTACTACTACTACTACTACTACTACTACTACTACTACTACTACTACTACTACTACTACTACTACTACTACTACTACTACTCTACTACTACTACTACTACTACTACTACTACTACTACTACTACTACTACTACTACTACTTCGGAGTTCTGCGCAGCTTTGGGTGATAAGGCCTATGACGTCACACGGCGAGAGCTGAGAGCAGTTGGGGGTGGGGGGAATTAGAGTATGGTAGGGTGGGAGGGAGATGATAGAAGACGGTGGTAATGAGCAGATACTTAAGTAATTTTAGATGTCAGCACGTTGAACGATTTGCATATTGGACAGATTTTATAGGCGATGATTATCAGCGATTGTTTATAGGCCTATATCATATATTCTACGTGAATTTAGTTTTGTAATTCTCATGTTGCAGCTTAGACATGGCATAATAAAGACGTAAAAAAAAAATATATATATATAGCATATGTAAACTCCAAATGTTTTTGACGAATTCATTATAAAACGAATCATACAACAACAACAATATTAATAATAATAATAATAATAATAATAATAATGGCAATACATAAACATACACATAAATGTACATATAAAAGCTGCAACCAACCACTGGGCATTGCGGCTTTGCACGCCAGTCAGTCAAGCGAGCGAAAACGGAGAGAGGGAGAGATCTTACGGCTCTACCTCACATCAAAGAATGACCACACGATTAGCGTCGAACCCCCCAGGCTCTGCCTCCAAGTGACGTCATGCGCGAGACGGACGAATTTGAGTCGCTTGGTTGGTTTGGTTTATACGAAGTAAAGTGAGGAGTAATAAGAGAGGAGAGGGAGTAGGGAAAGTTAGAAACGGAAATAAGTAGAAGGATAACAGGCAGGGGGCGAAACCCCGTGCATGGTTACATAATATAAAAATGCATCTATATTCGTCATGTATGGAGTACGATGGGGAGGGGTGTGAGTGGTTGACTGGGTTTATGACGTTATGTTGACGAGTTAGGAGTGGTAAATATATGACTAGGTGAAAGCAGAACTGAACGATAACTTGGAATGATAAACTTATATGAAAAAGTAAACTTAAACGTAAAGAACCTCTTTTTTTGTTTGTTTTTGTTTTATATATTTTAGTGTTTTAAGTGTTATTTAGTTTTTATTTGATTTTATATTTTATTTTTATTTGATTTTATGGTTTGTAAGGGAAAACATAGTGACAGATAATAATGGTTAATTGAAGTGAAATTATTTTTAGTTGATTTTATATTTTATTTGTTTTTTTATTGATTTTATGGTTTTATTGAATAACAATATTAATATAACTAATTCTACGTGAAACTTGGAACATTAAGAATTTATTTTTATTTGATTTTGTTATTTTATATTTTTATGTTGGTTTTCGATTGATGCAAACAAAGGCAAACAAGTTGAAGAGGTGGGGAGTTCCAGGGCAGACCGAAATAGATGGTGAAAGGGGGTGACGAAGGGGAGATCGGCTAGATAGAGAAAAAGGGATGGGGTTAGATGATGACATGGATAAAAGAATAAAGTGGCATAAGAAAACATCGCAGGGGGAATGAACTCTGTGACAACAAAGGTCTGCCTTAAGAAAATGGGAGGGACGAAGAAAGAGAATGGTAACATAAACCTGGCAACAAAACATGGTGAACAAAACACAAAATGGTAAAATAAACAAAGAATAGAACAGGGAAGGGATGAGAGGAGATACTTGGGTCGGAATCAATCGGAAATATAAAGAGAGGAAGGAAGCGAGAGTATGTAAAGAAACAGGGTGAAGATTAGTAAAAGAAGGAAGAGGGTAGGTAACATAAGGAGACCATCCATATGCATACATGTATACATATATAGATATACATACACATACATTATATAGATACGTGCAAGGTCTATATAAGTACAGGTCTCGTCACTTCGGAGTTCTGCGCAGCTTTGGGTGATAAGGCCTATGACGTCACCTGGAAGGAGCTGAGAGCAAGGGGGCGGGGGGAATTAGAGCATGGTAGGCAGGGACATAGATAATAGAAAATGGTAGTAAATGAGCAGATACTTGAGTAATTTCAGATGTCGGCACGTTGAACGATTTGCTTATTGGACATGTTTTGCAGGCGATGATTATCAGCGATTGTTTGTAGGCCTATATCATATATTCTACGTGAATTTAGTTTTGTTATTCATATGTTGCAGCTTAGACATGGCATAATAAGGACGTAAAATAAATAAAAAAGACATGGCATATGTAAACTCCAAATGTTTTTGATGAATTCATTATAAAACGAATCATACAACAATAACAATAACAATAATAATGATAATAATAATAATAATAATAATAATAATAATAATAATATAATATAATAATAATAATGGCAATACATAAATATACACATAAATGTACATATCTAAGCTGCAACCAACCACTGGGCATTGTGACTTTGCGCGCGCCAGTCAGTCAAGCGAGCGAAAACGGAGAGAGGGAGAGATCCTTACGGCTCTACCTCACATCAAAGAATGACCACGCGATTAGCGTGGAACCCCCAGGCTCTGCTCCAGATGACGTCATGCGCAAGACGGACGAATTTGAGTCCCTTAGTGACGAGACCTGTACTTATATAGACCTTGGATACGTGCACACGCACGTACAAGATGCCATTATGTTATCCCGGGGAAGATAGTGAGATTGAAGGGGGGATTGACGACCCAAGTGAAGAATAAGAAAACATTATAATAGTTTTTTTTTGAAGTTTTTATTTTTTTTCTTCCTTTTTCCGTAGAACATCTCCATCCTGCTCGTCCTCTGACTCGCGTGCCTGCCTTATGCAATTGCATGAGTGCAATCCCATAATCACAGGCAATCGAGTTAAGAGTTTGTAAGTTTGTAAGATAGTGACGAGACCTGTACTTACATAGACCTTGGGTATGAGTTGCCCCAAAAAACTTGTGCTAACTTAAAATACGTAAAAACAAAACGGTAAAACATTAAATTAAAACACGAAACAAGATGGGAAGAGTTGGGTATGAAAGGAGTGAAGGAAGTGAAAGAAAGTTCACAATAACATGGAAGCTGCTGACAAGCTCAGAAGACTGGCTACTGTTCCTCAGCCCAGTCCTGTGACAGGAGATCGCGACCGAGGCCAGACCGCCATCCCCTGAGGAAGACATTATTTCGGTCTATCCAGTCCGTGCACCAAACATGAAGTTTGTCGAGTTGTTTAAAAACCCTTTTGCGCCACTCAAGGTTGAGTGGAAGCACAGATGCTCTCTCGTGTAATCGTGAGGACGACACGAAATCGTCCCAACTTATACTGTAGATCCATCTGAGTGCTTTATTCTGGATGACCTGTAGCTTACGTTTATTTGTATGTGATGCGAGTGTAAGTGTGAGTGGTGCGTATGTGAGGAGTGGGAGTATGAGGGCTTTGAACAGGTGCAGCTTCGTGCGAGGGGCCGCACGTCTGAATCGGAAAAGCGATTGTAGCTAATGTAGCTTTTAAATCAATGTGATGATGAAAAAGTGTCAGATGATCGAAAGTTACACCAAGCACGGTCCAAGAGCGTGTTACTTGAAGAGGTGCTTCTAGTCTGTCGAAAAAGTTTAGGTGTATTTGAGCGTAAGGAGGATTGTGTCTAGGGTTTAGAAAGAGGACTTTTGTTTTTGTCGCATTAGTTTTGATAAGCCATTTGTGCTCTCATCGAGAGACGGTGTCAAGCTCGGCGTTGATTCGTCGGACAACACCATCGAGCGAATCATGTCTGGCTAAGTGTGTGCAGTCGTCAGCGTAAAGTAACGTCAGTGAATCAGGGGTGGGGTCGGGGAGGTCATTAGTGTATAATATGTAAAGTGTTGGGCTGATTATGCTGCCTTGAGGTACGCCTGCATGCATACTAATGGTATCCGAGATATTACCTGTGAATTTAAGCATTAATTTACGGTCATCCAAGAAGCTGCACAGCAGCTTCTTGGTGCTCGAGGGAA